CTTAAAATTGTTTCGGAAAAGTAAAGATCAAATAGATTCGTTGGTGCAAACTGTAGAGTTGCATAGTAAGGACATTAGATTGGAGTTTGGATTGAAAAAGTGTAGTGTGTTGAGTAGTGATAGAGGGATGAAATTAAGCCTCGAGTAAGTGTTGAGTGTCGAGTTAAGGTCAGATAAATCATTGATATGCATAAGAGTCGAGTCCATGACGTCACCCATTGTTTTAACCTAGGGAAAAAGTGGGTTCCTCCATACTGATAAGTGCCCTCCTCCATATCTAGTGAGCGTCCGTCTTATACAATAGGAACAATAGCTTTACCTAGAATTGTCCGGTATGTAACTTGAGCCCGGTTTGCTGGAACGGACTAATTACAAAAATAGAAAAAGAGAAGCGATCACCTAGCAACACAAGAAACGGCTTATATTTTCTATTACAATTTAAGCGCTTAAATTCGGATATATAAACAAAACACACACACAGAAAGTGGAGCTGAAAACTCTTTATTTCAATTTTGACTGACTACTACAAAACCGTTAGGTCTCAGCTCGGTGAGTTGGCCTTGTCATTTTCACGCGCCGTTAGTCAGTTAATTATATGCGAGTTAACAAGCCGACATTTGCATACAAAATGGCTCCACAGTAAAAACCCTAAGGAGAACCTTGACTTATTATTATAAAAAGACACAAAAAAATTTCTTAATTTAACAAGGATCAAGTAAAACACGCGACTAATAAACGCTAGCAATAAAACAAGACAAGAGATACCGTTTTAAAAACTTTATTGAGAACCAATGACAAAAAACGGTATAATACACAGCGAATTGTTGTGGAAGAATCTTGTGTGCTTGATGTTAAGTCTGCAACAGTGGTGATTATTTCTTCCGGTTGTGTTCTTGAGTTCAATTGTTCTTTTAAAGCCAGATATCTTTTTTACAACTGAAAGTATCGCTTATCTTTTCATCGTCCCGAAGATTGTTTCCAGAAAGCACATCATCCATGTTGCCCTGTATTCCTTCCATAGCTGGAAGAAGCAGGACGGGGGAAAGATTTTGCTGCTGTAGGTATTTTAAAAGCTCTTAAGGTATATTTTCTTCATACCCTGCTTGGTTAAAGCCTTATTCACTGGACAGGAGGTTTGTTCGCAGTGGGCAATTATCTTGGGTAGTAGTTTTTAGATTAATCAGCAGATAACCAAAAGGTCTTTTTATGCAGCCTCCTTGTACTGATTTAAAAAGAAATCAGTTTTCCCGGGATACATTTGCTTTGCCAGAGTCAAGATTTGCAATTTGTCTCGTGGATTCTTGAATAGCACCAAATAAGTCATCTGATCGTCAAACACGATCAAATTCCGTTTGTTCACATCAAAATAGAAATCCTGCTCCAAAGCCGTAGGAATTCCCTTGATAAATTCAATGTGTGGCACTGCGACTAGCATCTCTGTATACGCAGGCTGCCATCGTGAATAACACCAAACGATCCTCTCTTGGGGAAGGTAAATTGCCTCTGAAGCTTGATGTAATAGAGATAGAACCCAGGTCGCTTTTCCGGACTTGGTCATTCCAGAAGTTTTGGAGGTGAAAGGATGCTCAAAGCGAAGCCACTGACATTTCTGTGAAGACATCGGAACTGTTTGAAATGGGGTGAGACCAGCATTGCGGTGTTTAGACATCGCATGCCTTTACATGCTACTCTTTCTACTAAACGATTTTTCGCAAACGGGACAGAACCAACTCATGTCAACTTCTCAGGAGCAGAATGTAGACTGAGAAAAAGGTAGAATGTTGCGCGTTTATATAGGTTTGGCAAGCCATGAAACCACATTTCTATTGCTTTCCTCGGCCTCCTCCACCACCACCACATTTCTGTTGTTAAGTTATTAACTGTTCTTTTTTCGTTGTTGTTTTTATAATAATATGTCAAGGTTCTCTCTTGGGGTTTTTACTGTATAGCTGAGCCAATTTGTATGCAAATGTCGCCGTGTTAACTCGCTTAATTAACTGACTAACGGCGTGTGAAAATGACAAGGCCATAAGCCCACTAAGCGCTGAGAGTTAGTCGTCTCCTTGAGATAGAATACCTGAATTTTGTGCTTGAGTTTTGTTGATATCCTGTGTTTAGTCATGTTAATTTAAAGAAATGATTATTTAATAAAGATGTTTCAGTTACACTATGTAACGATAGCGTGTTCAACAACTGAGCGCTTTCATTTTGAACACATAATAATTTCTGCATGAGCCAATCATCAGGGTTAAAAGAGACCGGGCAATTCTAAGCCAGCCTATTGTTCCTATTGTATAAGAGAGACGCTCATTAGATGTGGAGGAAGACACTTATCAGTATGAAGGAACCCACTTTTTTCCTAGGTTAAAACAATGGGTGTCATCAAGTACTCGACCCCTATGCATATCAATGATTTACCTCAACCTTACTAGACACTTACTCGACACCAACGGGGCTTAATTTCATCCCACTATCACTACTGTGTTAGTAATGACAAGGGAAAAGAAAGTAAGGTTTGAGGGTTTAACTCTTTTGTATGGGCGGATAATGGAAGAAATCGGTGAAAGAAGGTATAAATATTTGGGGATTATTGAGACGGATTTAATAAACGAAAAGGAGATGAAAAAAAATAAAGAGAGTAAAAAAGAAGGCTGAAACTAATGTTGAAATCAAGATTGAATTGAAAGAATAAGGTTATAGCGATTAAACACCTGCGCAGCTGTCAGTGCTCATCAAGTATGGAGCAGGTAAGATGGGCAAACGAAGAACTGAAAACATTGGATAAAATGACTAGAAAAGTGTTGACAATGAATGGTGCTTTCCATTCAAAAAGAGATGTTGATAGGTTGTATGTATCAAGGGAGGATGGAGGTCGGGCCAACTTATAAGCTGTGAGGGGTGTCTGAGAGGTGAGTAAAACAGTTTTGGGTGGTGTGTGAAGAATTCTTGGGAGGTTTTACTGCAAGGGGTAAGGTATACTGAAAGTGAGGAAATTGTCAGTTAGGTTGATTGAAGACATCTTGGAACAATGAGCAGAAACTCGACAGTTGGAAAGAAAAAAAGCTGCATGGTCAATTTTATGAGGAATACCCGGAACAACACATGTAAGAAAACTTGGAAATGGGTACGAAAAGTAGACTCGAAGATCCAAACAGAAGCACTTATTTGTGCAGGCCAGAAACAGGCTCTCAGGATCAACCATGTAACTGATACCATGTTAACTGCAAGACCGTGCGAGTCTCCCCCTTATGTAGGTAATTAATGTGGCGAGAGTGTAACCCCCCGATATTGTCTGTGAATGTAAAAACTTAGCCCAAAGGGAATATAAACAGAGATATGACAATATTGCTAAAGTAGTTAGTTGGAAGTTATGTGAGAAATAACATGTGCAAATTAAAGAAGGATAAGTGGTACTAACACATGCCTGACAAAGTGAGTAAAAAAGATAAAGTTAAACTACTGTGGGATAATGAACATCCAATGTGATCATGTCATCAATGCTACAATAGACATGATCATGTGGTTGTAAACAAACAGGAGAGAGAGTGCGCCATTGTCGATATTGCTGTACCAGGGGATAAGAGAATTGTTGAAAAGGAGAATGAGAAGGTTAAAAAATATCTAGAGCTTAAACAAAAAATTCCAAGGATGTGGAACACGAAAACTGTGCAGGAGATAAAGATTGTTGTAGGATCATTCGCAAGTGTGACGAAGAACTTGGAGAACTGGCTGGAAAGTTGGACATAATAATTAGTATTTCATTACCCCCAAAAAACTACGACACTAGGAAGGGAAACGATTTTAAGAAACGTTTTAGAGGTCTAGAGTAAGGAGTCGAAATCTAAGGGTCCTTTTTTATGCGTTATGACTCGCTCCCTTAGTAAGTACAAAGGTATGAGATCAGCCAGCGCACAAAGCAAGAAATAATAATGATAACAATAATAATAATAATAATAATAGTAATTTAAAAGATAATAATAATCGAATAATAATACTTATATAGTTTAATAAGGGAAATAGGACTGAGTGGAGTCAGGAGACCACACAGCTGGAGTCCAACAACAACATCGAAGAGCTCACGCGTCATGGCTTGATTATTGTACCATTACTTAGGTATATATGACGGACACTACCCCTGGACACTGTCCCATTACGCTGTTATAATCATAATTAGAACAGCATTTAGTAGTGGTAATAGTACTAGAAATAGGACTCAGCTTGGAATCAATTTCGTCTGTAATCATCGGATTGATTAGAGAAAACTGTTTCCCTGTAGTCCTCTGATGGGCTACGACTATAGAAAAAAGGCAAACTGAATAGTATGCAATAGTCACGCCTCCTGTTTTTCAGACGTAAACGAATGTGCAACAGGAAAACATAACTGTAACGGCAGCTCCATATGCCATAACACCAAAGGATCCTTCTTATGTATCTGCAGAGAGCCAGGATATTTCTGGAACGGCGTTAATTGCACAGGTAAATATCTTCTGCACATTGAGATTGTAGATTCCTCTGATAAAAAAGGCCGCAGTGTGATCAGGGTCTGTCATATGATGAAATCATTGTCGTTATCGTCATCATTGGTATCGCGGATATTTTCCCTTTTTCCTTGAAAGCTATTTTAAAGAAAAAAATGAAACGAGAAAGGTTTGTGCAATTCCTTAGGTTTCAGTTTTATAAGAACAATAAGTTCCGACATGATCTTTAAGGTCAAGTAATAAAGGCAACATTTTCGCTTAACTTGATGCGCAACTTTAACTTAGAGCTTGCCAGTACAATCGATTCAAGTGAATTGTGTAAGTAAGAAAGCACCCCATGTCCCCCCACCCCCGCCGCCCCAATAAAGCTTTGCGTCTCTGGGTCAACGGGGAAGAAGCTGACGCTGGGACCGATAAGGGTTTTAGTCAGTCTTTCTTGTACCATCTTTAAAGACACCTGGTACCTACAGTAGCGATAAAACATGTAAAACTAAAGAAACCACTTCTTTTTGCAATCGTTAAGGTCTTTACGTTACTCGTCTCTTATGTTTAGCGTTCATGGACTCAAACATATTGAAAACAAATTCTTCTTATCTGTACCATCTGGGAAAATTTCTGCAGTCTGCGGTTGGGTACAATTCTCACTGGCTACTGTGCTGGCGAGCTACATTGCACGGCTGGGATGTCGAAAAACAGTTTCACAGACGATGCGATGGAAAAAGAGACACAACTACCATAATAAAAAAGGGTAAATACGTTTTTGGAGGTTACACGGACATTCCTTGGGGTAAGAAAATTGCTTGTTCAGTTTAAAAGCAAATAGCAGTAAAACGTAAAGTTAAGCCAGACGAGTATTCTTAACAATTTTTACTGCTGTAAGAACCAGGGGGGCTGGTTGTTACGTATTAACGATTCTGTAAAATTGCGGATATGTTGAATATCTATCCTCCCGGTTCCTGGCGACAAAAAACATGGACCATGATAATATTGACTCAAAGTTTACTAGTCTGCTACACAGGTCACCAAACTGTGACATCCACGGGCATTTTTGTCTGATTTTTGGCAACATAGCTATTCTTACGTTACCAACTCGAGTACGCTGATTTCGAAAATTAATGTTGCCAGTCTCAAGCTTGTGTTAAGATGGATTTTTGGGGTATTTCATTATGACGTCACTGTCCAAATAAGAAGTTTTCTTTCCTTCCCTAATTATAAAATTTAATAAATCCAGAAACGGTTTCAATTTTGAAGACCTTGTAGAGAATTTATGAAACGCTGTTTCCGCGAATTTCGAGGCGTCACATGACAATTGACCACACCCTTTGATATAAAATGCACACAGTAATGGCTAAAGATGTGATATTTATCGTAATAATTTTACTGAGATAATTAAAAAGTATATTAAAATAAGCCATTCTTTGATTGCACGTGCTCTTGGCAATTATTGCAAAACCTTCCCATTCCTGCACTTTTCCTCTCACTAAATATGTTACAAGACCAAGGGAACTTCGAAACTCAAGTAAATTCAAATAGTTTAGGATAGCAAGACTGCTTAATAAAATGTAGTTGCATCTAAAAAGAAAAAGAGCTGCAGCGATTTTCTTAGACGCTGAGGAGTGGCTTTCCACAAGGCTCGAAGAGAGATGTGCAAAGCTGCTAGAAGCGCAAAAGCACGGGAAAGTGTTTGTGATCAACAAAATAAAGAGACAATAAAAAGAGAAAGTGTAAGAGATGTAACCACTCCTAGGGCTTTCCACCAGTTATTCGGCAACTTTTTGGCAACTTCTCGGACTTCGAGCAACTTCTCGAGTTATCTTCTAATTCTGAGATATCGGAGCAGCTTTTAGTGCTTCAAATTGGCCTTTCTTCCATATTTCACAATGTTTACATAAACAATTTCTGAATTTCCTATAAAAAAAGAAGCCAAATCCTCCCTCCTGGGGCAGATCATGGGCGCAAGATAAAAGTAGCCGGGCTGCTAGGTCACCTGTTTTTAGAGAAAATTCATAATGGTGGACGAAGATTCACACTCGACTGACTTGTGTCTCGGGTGAAGAAGGTCTTTCAACATTTTTATTGGCTCGTTAGACTTTCTGGTTTTTATTTAGGACAAAGTTATTTAGCAACGCTGGTTACGCCGCAAAATTGCACAAAATGCTTAGAAATCTTACTTTTGTTGTACAAGTTGCATATTTTAGCATCAGACCAAAAAAAATTTTTTTGTTTTTTTTCGAGCAACTTTTGAGGAACTTTTGTTTGTTTTTTGAGCAACTTTTTTGAGAAATACAGGAAACTTTTTGAAAAATCTCGAGCAGCTTGTGGAAAGCCTAACCACTCATGACTCACTTCGTCTCACAGTGGCACAGAAATTTGTTATCGTGACTTCATACACAAAGTGAAAATTGAGCTTTTGTGGGAAAAGCTATTAAATAGGGACCTTAAGATCTGACGACGGCGACGGCAACGGGAACGCAACAAAAGCAATAGGTGTAATTAGCAAAACAACAGTTTTGCACGTGCATCACGCTTTTTTGTACATTTCTTTGCCGTCACTGCACGACTACGACGTGAAAATGCCTAATTTCACGATGTACAGAAGAAGTACACAAGCGACGTCGAAATTTCCTCTCTCTTACTGAACTTGGATATGGTTCTTAGGAATTCAACTTTAGGAGGGTTCTCCTACATTTGACAAAGTTAGTGACTTGGAGTAATCTCGATGAAGATTGGAAGAACGCGAATTCACTTTTTCAGCGACGTTTTTTCTGCCGTCGCCGTCCTAGGTCTTAAGGTCCCTAATAATCCCCCCTAACGCAGAAAAAAAGTATTTCTTTTGACAACGAGGCGGCCTCCACTTCATTAAAAGGGCAAGTAGCACGAAGTAGTAGGAGAAGTGTCGCACCTGTACAATGGAGTCTTTCTGTACTTTGCCAAAAATTCGAAAACACCGAGAGGCGCTCAAATCATTTACATCATTCAATGTAAGCAATTCAGTTCCAGCAATTAAATCATCTTATCTCGATTTAACCTGAATTTCAGACGATTACTTCGAGTCGTTTTTACTTCCTCAGTAGGGTCTAAATTGACTGGCCGCTGATACCGTCCAGTGACGTCACTACTCATTCCTAAGTCATGCAAAAAGTAAAACACGATTTTCAACCGGGAAACAAAGAAATATCGTCTGGAAATGTCTACATGATACAGAAGTGCTTTACTCTTTTTGAATGTAATTCATATTTAACGTTTAAACTGTCAACTGCATGCAGTACTCTGAACGAAGTCTGTTGTACGTTTAATTCAATACTCAAACTCGATCGCAATCACGCAGATAAAACAAGCTCATTAAAATACACACATGGAACACTTCAAAAACACAACGATTTGCTATAAAAAAAAAAAGCTATTTGGTGCTTAACGAAGAAGAAAAAAAAAAAAAAAAAAAAAGTTAAACAGAATCATTACACTCGACGGTGGAAATTAAAAGACTTAAATCCCAGAAATTTTCGCTTTCGAATTTTTTTAACTCCACGCAAACATGCCAGGCATCCGACCCAGCAATCCCGCTAAAATTTCTCGTAACTATACATAATTCTGCGAATGTTTGGACAAGAATCAACCAATCAAACACTACCCGGTTTTCGGGTAGTGACGTCAAACTGGACGGGATTAGCGGCCGGTCGATTCAGACGTTGCTAACAGAGTAAAAAAGGACTCGAAGTAATCGTCTGAAATTCAGGCTAATCTGGATAATGCACTAAAATTCCGCCTAGCTGAGGTAACGATCTCATTGCTGCAAAGGGCCGGGAAGGTACAAAAAGTGTCTGAGCACTTAGTACCAGACTGGCAAAAAGAAAGAGGAATCTCAACAGGCAGTTATCGTTATGATTTTATCTGCTTTGAGCTCGGCCACCATACTGCAGTGCGTAAACCAAATACTCCAGCTATCTGATGTATGGCCGGGATATAATAAGCTAGCCCAAAAAACCAATACAAACATATCGCAGTCATCTATCAACAGGAAAGCATCATGAGAAAAGTTGGAGACTTGTTCGAATTCTTAAGCACTGATATGGGGGATTACATCATACAAGTTATGATGTACGCTCCTAGTTACTCAACGCTGTTGGTAGATCTACTGCACCAGGCGGGCCATATACAGCTACAACAGCCAAATCCTTAAGTTGGACCCCTCACTGGGGCAAGATACAGTCTGTTCTTGAAAGAGATAAATGGCACCGTTGTCCTAACTGGTTCTAAACCCGGACAACTTCCTGATGCAGTTCACCGCTAATAACATTGACATCAACCATTCGTTACTAGGTGGAAAGGACACTTTCCACGCAACACAGGTACCTGGTTGACAAAGAGACCCAAATAAAACAAAGCATTTAGCAAGCTTGAGGCCCAAAGTGAATTGTGAAATAACTAGGATTCAACATTGCACAAGAAAAACAAAAAGTTGTATATGTATTCCTAAGTACATTACAAAAAAATAATTGCTGTCTTTACACTAGGCTGTTAAGTGCCCCTGTTAAGTAAGACTTAAGAGCTGCTAAGTTTTACTTAACCAAAAATTCGTGTGTGAAGGCCTAAGTAAAATCTCAAGTAACTTTACTTTGCATTTCATTAAAGTTGGAAAGTTGAAACGATTCAAGAAAGTTTTAAGCGACTTGAAAAGCATCCTTAAAACCGACTTACTTGCGGTTTCTTGGGATGCTTACCATTTGACAGAAAAATCTGGCTGGGGTGTCGAAAGCATAATGGTAAGCGATTTACCAGTTTACCGTAGAGTTGCCACATCCGTTACGGTTTGAATCCAAAAAGGGGGCGAATGCATCTGGAACCGAGAAATTGGTAGTTGGTAAGCAACATTCCGTTTGGTTTGTACCAACTGGAATGAACGGACTACCTCAAAACGTACTCCTCAATTTTTGGTTGGAATTTCCGAAAAGTGACCTTACCATTTACCATCCATCCGGAATTTCCGAAATTTTCTGTCAAATGGTAAGCACCCTTGAGGTTTGAGAAAGGCGAAACACGTCAATCAATCGTAGTTATGTTGCGTGGGAAAATAGCCTTAAGTTAACCTGAAGTAAAAAAGAATCGGTTGTGTGTGAAGCTTTATTTTACTTGAAGTAATTAAAATTTGCTGCTCTTGAAATATTTCTTAGCTTATTTAGGCTCTAGTGTAAAGACTACCAATGTGATAAATATACAAGTGATAAGGTGATTTTTCTATAAGAAGGCGTGGTCAAGTGTCACGTGATGGCTGTATGTTAATATAAGCAGCGTAAAAACAATCAGAAATTCTTAGAATATAATTTTTATAACACTAATAACGCTTTAAAAGAATTTCTGTCTCTTTTAAATTTGGAATTGTTAAAGGAAAGAAAACCCCTCATTTGGACAATGACGTCATAGTGAAAATCCCCCAAACTCCACCTTAGCACAAGATCTGAGTTTGGCAACAATGATTTTCAAAATCAGCGTACTCAAGCTAGTAAGAATACCTGGGTGTCACATTTTGGTTTCCTGTGCACCCGACCAGACTATACCCGCGCAAAAAAGTGAAAACTACCGTATTATAATAACTCACAGCAATTTTTGCGGTAAAATCCTTTATAATTACCTGACGGGATACCCGTCGAATGGAGTATATCAAATACGTCGTCTTTACCCGCGGCGTTCTTCCCCATCAGTAGGCCATGTCTGATTACAGGGTTATTAATTCTTTCATTTAAGTCCAATTCTTATTTCCTCAGTGGCACTTACCAAGGTAACATGTAGATTTAGCGAGGGCCAAAAACGAAGCTCTCATTTGATCTTTTAAGTAATGCCTTTGAAGAAAGCTGTAAACCTGAGGCTTCGATACGGACAGTTGTTTAATAGCGGATACCCTATTTTGACAGGTGGATGTCTAATATCAAGTTAATCACAAATCGAATATACCTTAGATTAACGCTTATAACAAGTGAGTGTGACATTTTACATGCGGTAATATGAAAGGGCGGACGTAAGGACGGAAGATTGGGTCACAATTAAAATTCCTTGAATGCATATATCACCAAATTTTATTATCCATAGTGCCCGGCTGTTTTTGTTTCGCGAGCCCGAGAGCCCCGCCGTTATACCTAATGTTTACCTACAATCCTTGTCACATTACGTTGGGACACCCCGTGCTGTACCCATTTCCTGACAGAAAAAATGTGCTCCTTCCCTCCCAGTGTTGTTGTTTTTTTTTTTGCTCCTGTCATTCCAACTCGCAAAATCCAACATTAAGGGGGTAGAAAATACCACTACTGTCCCAGCTATTGTGACGAGTGTTGTAGGTATGTCAATTCTTGTACCTTGGTAAAACGATCAAGTCAAACAAGTCGACATCATGTGTTCTTGTTTACATTGGATTATTACGGGATGAAAAGAAATGCTTTATTATTTTGTTTTCATTTCATTTATTTATTTCTGCCGCTAAAATTCATAACTTCGAGGAATCCATCTCCATTGGTTATTGTGTCTAGTTACATATTTTGCTTTTGTTGTTTACACTTTTAGTTTTTTCGATCAAGTTAGTGTGTGTGAAGTTCCAGGCAGGGTACCCCCATAAATTTCGGATAGATGTTTGTCTCCGAGGGCCTGAAGTACTGACCCTACTTGAGGATGAGAGAAACGAAAACTGATACCTTATTTAAGGGCGTGTCTCCGTAAAACCGACCAGTGATTTCGGATCAAAAAATTAGTTTTCCCTGTATTCTAGGATATTAAAGTCTTTACCTAATTAGTTACAAAAATGCATTTTGTTTGACCGGAAATGCGAAAAAATTTTTTACGAATTTTTGAATTTTCCGCCGGCTGGCACCGCGCCATAGCCTTTGAAACTGCAAAACTTGCCTACATTGCCGGCGCTACAGAAAACAAACAACTCGTTCAAGAAGCCCGATTTTCTTTTTAATATACGGATACACCACCCGAATTATTTATTCATTTTAACGGCAAGAATCTTTTTCCTTGCACGTGTTATCAGTCTGCTGTCAAAACCAAAAATAGCGCAACTTTGAGGGCAGTTTAAAAAAGTGTGGCACCTGTCTGAACGTTGCTATCTGTATTAATACAAACTAGAAATGATAGTAAAACGTAAAAAGGAATGAAATTTTTGTGCTTTTCACGTTTTCGAATATGAGCACCGTTTGAATTTCCAGAAATTTCGAAGACAAGATAATCAACGAACACTTGCCTTGTTATTCTCCTCTTTTAACTTCGCTGTTTGTAATGTCCTTCTTGGTTTGTAGAGCCGGGATACTATTGTGCCTTAATTAAGCAATCGCTTTTACTAAAATATTGGTTTTCTTATCATTTGTCCTCCAAGGGAATTTTTTGTCCTGTTTGTGATAAAAGTAATGGCACTCGTTGCTGGTCGCGAGCGTAACACGGTTGTTTCGTGACATTTAAATTTTTTCCGCTATTTGTTAGAGGTAATTGCCTTTGAATCGCCATACATCGATAAATTTACTTCTTCATTTTAACGTAGATGCATTGATGCATTGAGAATCCACTAAAACGCTACCAAGAGAGAATGAGGTGACCCTACAACAGTTCGTTCCAGGCCCCACTGTTTTTCGAAAAATCATTGGACAAGATTAAGACGTCGAGGATTTTTTTAAAACGTTTCTACGTGATTATGTATAGGTAATGAAACCCAATAAAACCAAGAAAAAAGTGTACAGCTCTTTAAAATGATTCACAAGGGCAAGGGCTAACGTACCTGGGCCGTGGCCACGAAACGTGAACTCTTGCCCTCTTTACTTACCACATAATTATGCATCCGAAGAGCTCATGTAGCTTTTGTAGCTTTTCCATCGGGTAGCGGTAAGCATTAAGATTAAGAACCTGGGTCTTAGGGTTCCTTGTTAGCGCATATTTTTGTGCCTACAAAAGAACGAGCAAGTCACTGGAAGGATTTTTGTTGTTTCGATCTGACCATGGAGCGCATGATCTAAATCGTTGATACCCAGCGTTTGGCGCTATTACTTCAGCAATACATATTTCCTTTTCCATGTCTGTTCCCTCATTCATTCTTTTCCATCTCGTTGCTGTCCTAATCTGAGTAATGACGACCTACTTTCTTAGAGGCCAGGTCTGAAAACAGGTATGGATTTAAGAGGCCAGGTCTGAAAAACGGTGTCAAACTGAAATGACCTTTTTTGGTCTAAAAAAGGGTCCGAGCGGCCCAGCCTCAACAAGAATTCCAACCCCCTAATGCGGATCACCAATAAAAAGGTTTCACTTCATTCTATGCTTATTTACCTACAGAAATACCAGTGACTGCAGACTGTGGCTAAATCCAGATGCGACGGGTATACCACGGGTAGTTTCTGAGCAATGATGTGCATAAGGCTTCAAAATAATTTGTAATACCAATTAGCGATTGAATAGAAATTTTTGTAATGCTACAATACATTGTCTCTTCATCTGTTCTTCTGTACATTTGCTCCATGAGTAATTTCCTCTGGCCAATTGCAATGCTTATTTTCCTCAAATTTTTGTTTTTGCGTCTTGACCGAAGTACTGCAAATAGCTGTATCACGACAATGATGAGCTCGACTTCCGACTCATATCGACTCATAGCATAGAAGTACTTCTTCGGACCAACACAATCGCGACTTGCACTGATTATGACGGGATGATTGACAGATGGCAAAATAAACTCAAAACAGTCTTATTCCCTAGTAGGATTCGAGGTGTCAAAAATACTTTTAGAATAAAAATGGATTTTATTAAGAAAAATTGCCAAATTTCCGCGTTGTTTCCTGGGTCACGTGCATCTTCTCTACTAAAAGCGAAATGTCTATTAATATTAAATTGACTTTCAAGAATACTAGAAATCTGGATGCAGAAAAAATAAATAGTTTGTAAAAACCTTCCGTGCACATTTTACATAAAGCAAAAATCGAGAACTACTTTATAAAATATACTAGCCTGCTTAGAATGGCGGTCTTGTCGTGCGAAGCTTGCGCGAACGAGCATTGCTCCCGCCCCAATCTCCTCGCGGTTTCACAGCCCTCGTCCGCCTTATAAGCTAGTACTGCGCGCCAGACCAAAACTACGCAGGCTAATAAATAACCGGAAAAATCAAACACGTAATGGAACAATTCCTTTTAAAGGTTTAAGGAAAACGTTCCAGAGAAATTCGCTCGACCTTCTCTTTATGTAAAATTGGATGTACAGTTTCTTAGACAACTCAGTCGGCACAGGTTATGGGCTCCTGATCAGCATTAAGAATACTATTACATTTACCATGACTTGATGAGTAGTTTTTTTTTTCAACGGAAAGGTAAAAAGCTAAGTCCGTACTAGACTGCAAAACAGTCGGTTTTTTCCTCAAAATCAGTAAAGAAATCGGTAAAGCGTGGCGTAAGAGTCTTATGCGCGCGAAGCGCGCGAGCCTCACACGCCCTATGGGCGTGTGAGGCGAGAGAAAAAAAACCGTATTTTTAGCGTCTCTCCCCAGTCTCGCTCTCTGTTTTCAGCCTCATTCCGGACCTTTTGTTTGACTGCTCGCGCGTACTTGAATACGCAAAAATACGGACTGTTTTGCAGTCTAAGTCCGTACATCGAAAGAGACATGACTATCCTCGTAGCAAACCCGAGCCGTACACCCACCCTTCTAAACCCCCATTAATGCTCATTGTTATGGGTATTTACAGCTACTTAAAGCTACACGGAAAGGAGAGAAGACGAAAAAGGGATTGGAGGTCACATTTGGGGATCGGCCTTTAGACTTCTCCCATAGAAGGCCGCGCAATAACCAACTGTACCAATCCTTTCTCCTCAAAAGCAAGCCGAGTGGGACTTGTGTTTCCAAAAATTGAGTGATGTTACATGATCATTTTTTAGCTTTTTGTTGCTCCTAAAAAAAAAAGATGTTGACACGTCCTTAAAGGGCGACAGTTTCGAGCCAGTTGCAGCCCAAATAACGATCAATTGTCTCACACATACGAACAGACCCGCCCTGACGAATATCAGTTCGTATTTTAATTAAGTGGTTCGTCATATCTTTTCTTTCTTTCTGCAACTTACATACTGAATATGTCTAACCTCGAAAATCTCTACAAGTAGATTTTCCCAAGGCCACAGCAGACAGTCAGTCTGTACACTCCTTCGCTATGGTAAAAAGGACAACAGCAACAACAGCTCGTTATTAAGGACAGTTTGCTTTGTCCCTGGGGAAATAAAATCCATACATTTTCTCTAAATTTACCCCGAGATGGTCCTAAGAGCTTTATTTTGCGTTAAAGATACAAAAATAGAGGTTTATTAATATTTAACTCTTTGAAACAAAAGGAATTAATTTTTAACTTACATTTTTGTTAACCGTAACTGAAAAAAATTAACCGAAAGCCGTAAAAGAGCCAAAATTTTAGCCGAAAGCCGTAAAAGCCACCTCCCCATTGAGACCCTCTTGTCTGCTTCGTGTTTATTCCTTTTCACGTTTTACTATCATTTCTAGTTTGTATTAATACAGATAGCAACGTTCAGACGGGTGCCACATCTTTTTAAACTCCCCTCAAAGTTGAGCTATTTTCGTGTTTTGACTGAAGGCTGATAACACGTGCCAGGAAAAAGATTCATGCCGTTAAAATGAATAAATAATTCGGAACTGTGATATGGCTAGGACATCTGGAGTGGTGTATCCGTACACATGTTTTAAAAAGAAAATCGGGCTTCTGGAACGAGTTGTTTGCTTTCTGTAGCGCCGGCAATGTAGGCGATTTTTGTAGTTTCAAAGGCTATATTGCGTCGGTGCTAACCGGCCGAAAATTCAAAAATTCGTAAAAAATTATATTTCGCATTTTCGGTCAAACAAAATGCATTTTTGTACCTAATTATGTAAAGACTTTAATATCCCAGAATATAAAGAAAACTGATTTTTTGATCCGAAATCACTAGTCGGTTCTTACGGGGACGCGCTCTTCAGAGGCGCACCCCTACAAAATGAGACCCAATTCAAGGAAAAAAAACACAAACTAAGAATTTAAAGGCAACACATACCCTGCGTGATCAGAAGGCCTTTTCGTAAATTAATTGTCAGTCATGCACGCGACGAAAAGACCGTGAGTAAAGAAACGCCGAAAAAGTCTTCATTAAGTCGCTTTCATGATACTCTAAGGTAAAGTTCAGCTAACAAACCATTTTTTTTCTCGTGTAGCTGGGCATTTATACCTGTAGACTCTTGAATGTTAACCAAATGATAACGGCGGGAACACAACACTAACAAGGGAAAAATTGATTCAGTATGGAAGAATAAGACCCTCAAATACCATACTTTTTCGGGCGTCACATACCTATCTAGCCAAAATATGGGAGTACCCCACTCCTCCCCCCTCACAGCCCTCCAAGCAATCAAGTTGAAGTTTAGTAAATTGAATCTAGTTTAATACCTACTACAGCTATGATCATTTCTGCACAAAACAGGTATCAAACTTGTTATGATCCCGGAATCGGTTCAATGAGGCCCTGTTGGAGAGGGGGGCGGGGGGGGGGGGGGGGTTCTTATCCCTTATCCTTGTAAATCTAAGAGGACATATCCCTTATCCCTAAACGTTGTAAGAACGTTACTACTAAAAGTCAGGGAACACGCAGGGGGAGGTGCTGGGGGAAAAACTTGCCCCTTTCCGCGCACTTTTTGTGGGAAAGAAAAAAAAAATGTTTGCCACAAATTTTTGTAGTTACATTCATGTTAGAATTAAAGAAGGTATAACTGTAGCTGAAAAGATGCAATAGTCATTGTGATTGTTATGGCATTGCAAAGGCTCGATTAATCCGTTTCCAGAGGCGACTTTTTACGCGTGTAAACCAGCGGCGATTTCACAAAGACTCTTCTCTAGTGCTAACAAAAACACAATAACCATGCAGCCGTTGTCTCGTGGGTTTTGCGAATATAGTAAAATGGGTTTTCTTGGCGGCAAAGATATTCCCACCTTATTATTATCCAGCTTGCGATCCTATAACCAATAAAAGTAAAGGGGAGAAAAATAAGTGTAGATCATAATTAATGTAGAACCATGATGAACTTTCATTACTCCCTAAAACAATTCAATTATCCCCAAAATTATTTTCTCAATTATCCCTTACTGGTTCCCTTATCCCTAAGGAAAAGGTCTGAAAGGTTAGTTACATCACATGTCAATGCAAATAAGAAATGCATTATCATTGGCGTAATATATCATACATCATCTCTGTATATCTGTCTTTAAAGACTATGTCCATTTTCGTAACTAACTGTAAGGAACAGCAATACAATAAACAAAGGGAGGAAAATAAGAAAAAAAAGGAAAGTTGAAAAAAATGTGTGATTCCATTTCACTCATGGTTCTTATTAAATTTGTTTTGTCTTAGTTTATGATAATTCATTTAAAGTCAAGAATAAAAATAAAAATAAATAAATAAATTCAAACTAAGGAAAATACACTACAGAGTAACTACACCACAGTGTTTACTCAAAAGTTAATACTTACGTTTTGTTGGTTTGTTAGAGTCCAGTGGTGACTATGGATTCACTCGCAAGGCGTTTATTTTTTCAATTAGCAATAAAGAAGAACTGGATCCCTTTGTGAGTGAGGTGAGAAGGCCAAGCCTGGCAATTTACAGGTTGTCAAGGACTGGTCCAGTGTTTGGTTCAGACATCGGCATTGATAATAATGCCAACAGTAAAAACAGCTCAGCCGCACGCCTTGGCTGGTACTACCCTGCTCCTGCTGCAGTGCAGAACCCGGATACAATCCTGGCCGGGACTGAGTACTTCTCACCTGATGAGGTGGAGGTATTTTATCTTGACCCTACTCAATAAATATAAAAAGAACCATTTCATTATTTACGGCCAAAAAACATGCAGCTATATTAACATACTTACTACCTTCAAAAAAATGTACTTCCCAATGTATATTTCTCGACAACGTAGAAAATCTTTGTTTCTTTCTTTTCTTGATCTTTGTTAAACACGAGACAGGAATATAGTTCTTGGTCACCTTTTTAAGTTTTTTTTTTTTTTTACGTTATTTTATTTTTAGTCAAGGAAAGTAAAACTGATAATGATTTTTGTGATTTGCGTAAATTACTATTTTACTGGAGTAATTAAGCTTTAATTTCATTATAAGTTTAATTGTTTAACCATTTTTAGATTTTAATAAACTAAGGCACATTTTTTCCCAGCCCGAGCCAGCTGTCTGGAAACAGCGAATTTCGACTGAAATTAACGCATTTATGAACCCCAATGATAACGTGAACCTGCACTGTTATAACAAAAGAACTCACTTCAGCTTAGATCAATTTAATAAAACTTTTACAACTGCTGTGAAGTATTTAAATAGTTATTTTTAAGAGTTGTATTTCTTCTAAGTTTCGTTTTCCTATTACTAGGTGAGTCAAGGTTAATTTGGATTTGGTGCGCATAGGCATTTTCCTTTTTTTTGTTTTGTGATTTTCAGACTTCTACTTGAAGGTTTGCTTAGCTCGCGGATTTACTTAATACCATTTTAATTAGGAATATTGTTCTCTTGCCATGGTCGGATGTTAGTTTTTCATATACGTAATCGTGTTTTTCATGTCAGAGCTGACCTTGGTTCATTCATTAGTCTCTTTGAAGTTCCTGTTTGGGTTTGTTAAAAAGCGTTTTAATTATTCATCGGTTTGTAGCTTCTTGTAAATCGCAGCCACGTATGTTCAGTAATACCAAAACATTACCTACACGGCCGCGAGTTTACCTTGTTTTTATTCCTACGGTCAGTTACCCAAACATGTCCAGCTTTGACTATAAAAACCGCTACTACACTTGAACTACTTACTCTCCGCCGAGTAAGGATTGAGTAAAGAAGAGGAGTAAGAAGATTAAGATTAAGATTGTTAGTGAAGACCAATGTAAATCAGACTCCTGGTATCTCATGGCTATAACTAAGCGAGCGAGTTGCTCGAACACACCCCCGACTCGCAAATCCCCATGAAAATCTTTTTGCATTATAACTTAAAAACGCTCTCGTCAAATGCAAAATCTGGTTTTATTCTTTTCACTTTAGCATTCATAGAAGATTGTAGCAGGGGCACCCAACGAGAATATAGTTCAAAACCACTTAAACATAGCATTGTTAAACGTATTTTAGTATTAAAACGGTAGATATAGGCAAATTTTTATCCCCTAAAAATTTTTCATCTGTTCGGATTTCCTAGCTGAGAGGCTAGTGATTCGAAAATTATAGGGATCAAAACTTACTTATTCGAAAATTTCAGCCAGAAAAAAGGCTCCCGAAAATTGGAGGTGACCTTTTTAGGGTAAAAATCCGTTAAAAATGGGCAATTATACCATTTTTTAGATGTTCGAAAATCCTAGGAGAGGCAGACAAGCAAGAAATTTTGGAAAAAAATGCTCCGAAAATTTTAGATCTCAAATCGTCTTCCAAACAGATATTTTCCGAAAATTGTCGTTGGGTGCCCCTGTTGTAGTGAAAGTCAGTCCGGGTGCATGTCTGCCGTGTTTAAGACATTGATATATACATTGACATTCTTTATTTAGACGTGCAGTTAAAAATTAAACGCAAGTTTAAAAAAAAAAAAAAAGTTTTAATTAAATAATCAGTCAAAGGTCTCGACAGATCGGCCTTAGTATATTCAAGGCCGAGTTTAATAAAGTTTACTTACTTATGAGAAAGTGTCTAAGTGTTTTCTTTTCTTCTCCTTCTTCTTTGTTATCATTAAAAAACGTAAATGCTACAAGCAAGCTTGTTTTTGATTATATATGATCAATCCTCTTTGATAAGCTCGTTTAACGTTCGACTCATGATCACAACGGCAGTCAAACAATTTGTATTATTTTAAACAAAACTGTCTTAAAAGGTCTCGTCAGGGCTATCAATTTAAAAAGCAAAACCCTTTCAATTTTAGTGCGCATAATTTGAATTCCAAATATAATGGTCCCGAGATTTGTTGTTAAAAATTTCATATTTGGCCTTTTAAACTGTCTCCTGTTGTCTTTTTTGCAACGGATGACAAGGATGGACATGGACTGGCCATGGACGCTAAATAGATTTCTATCTTTATACTATTTTATCTTTTAAACGTTTTTGATGGCGTGGAGCACAATATTCTCCTGCGCAAGATCTCATACCTGGGTGCTGGTTCGCAAGTTACATGTACCCATCTAACCGATCACAATATCCATGTATTGATCACGCATTTTTACAATGTGGTGATGATATATTAGAGTACAGACCCATGATGGATGAAGTGGAGACTTGCTTTTCTATTTTTTGTTCAACACGGACGCGATTTTGAAATTGTTTGCAGTTCGTTTGAAGCAAGTGAAAGCCTTTTAAAAGTGGCTTACCAGGAGCTGTTTATAGATAAGAAAAAAAAAAACAATAAACCGAGACAAGTTCTTGAACGACTTGAAAATCTAGGACAAATCCTCGAACAGTAAAGCGGTACAGAGGCAAGTATGTCGTTGCTTCTTCTCTGCTCATTATGTAAACTATATAGATTCCATGTAACCCTGGGTCTGTTCACTAATATCATAGAAGACGTCAAAATTTGGTTAAAACATCAGTGACACACTCGCATGCCGCTCAGTGCAGCTCAGTGCCGCATTTTTGTTTTTGCCACATTTTGAAGTCATCTGGAATTACTGAACAGGCGCACAGCGCACTGCAACATGGAATCTATTCATTAAATAGTCATTACCCAGGTCAACTGAGCCGTGTAAGCCTGTTCCAGGCGTTCAGTTTCTGTGGACAGCACAAAAAGATGTGAAAAGAAAAACAGCGTGGGTTGAGCCGAGCAAAGGAAGGTTCCCTCCTCTCTCCACCTCTCCCTCCTTTTTTTTTTTTTTTTCCCAGCTGCTCTGACTTTGTGCCGCATTCCAAATTTTAAACGCCTGGAACAGGCTAGAGCTAAATCGGCCGCTTCATCGATTTATAAACACCTATTCGAGGACTCCCAATCTTCAACATTGGCGCAACGCAGTATCGCTCCGTTACATAAATCGCGCCGAAATCACCGTTTTTATGTTTGAACTAGTAGTACGATTTTTGTGCCGGCGTCAAATCTATCCGCTACTTTGTAAACATAGCCTTAAGTTCCCTGTTAGCAACGCCAACAAATGCTTTAATCAATCATGCTATTTTCTATAGCAGGTTGTCAAACTTTTTGTTAGGGTAACTCCTAAAATTCCTGACAAAACATTCTCGCTATAGTATCTGGGTAATACTCTCGAAAAAATTTCCCTTACGGGTGGTGGAGGTGGGGGCTTAATAGAGGTACAACAGTACCTTTAGAAAAACACTGACGAGCTGTTTGGCATTTTTCTTTATTCTTAGAAATACAGTTTCTTTGCGCGACCGTTTTCCAGGTGATCTTCTCTTCATTCACCATACCGCGGCATTTTAGTCATTAATTTGAAATTTTTTGTCCTCAGATTCTTGATGTCACCAGTCCCTCTATCGTTATGTTCATGGAACTTTCGGTCAAGTATTTTGACGCACAACCATAAGCCTGGCTAGTGAGCTTGATTATTAGCTGGGTTTAACACACAGTTATAGTACTGCAAGTTGCACTTCCGACAGCAATCGAAGGAGCAGAACGCTACAAATAAGGTCTCTTCTCGATTTCAAGTTGTCCAGCTTTTCTTACAGAAGATGGGGTTGTTTTCAAACCACACAAGCTTTAAAAGACGGTAATCAAATTAACATTAGACAAAAAATTAAGCATGCGCATCCTTCGGCTCAAATAGACTGATATCATTCATGAATAATTGAGAAAATGTCAGACAAAAACGCTAAATAGAAAAAGGGAAGAACGAGGTTTTACCACAAGCAAAGTGAAGCAAATGTAAAGGATGAAAGAGCCATGATTCTTGATAATTTTTTTTAGACTGCGAGCAGTCTCTTATTTTTCTTGTGAGACACAGTACATCGAGAACATGCGTTGGAGGGGGTGGGGGAAGTGGCGAAGCAGCGAGGAACAAGGGCGGAAGCCCATGTTAAGCAAAGAAAAAATAATTTATTCGCATAATTTTACTTTTTCTCTCACCGCGCGTGGCTCGAGAGGAAAGAAGGACGACCACTCGTGGCCTAATTTTTTGTAACCCTGAACTGACTTTTTCAGATAAAGATTTCTCTACCGTTTCAAAATGGCGAAACGTACTCGCGACTAAGTTGAGATTATTTACTCTTTTGTCTTGCCTTACATTTTGACCTAAGAAATAACTCAACTGCTACTCATATGGCATTTCCTCAATAAACAACTTCGCACATCACCATATACGAAAACAAACGGCGGTAACTTACCTCTAGTATGGACAATATTTTCTGCAGTTGCACGATAGAACAGTTGTTGAAATGGTTGTTTGTGAAGTATTCTCTGTAGTCTGTGGTTTCGCTGAGATATCAAGCATGGCTTCTGTCTTGTCTTCAGTATTTTCCTCGAGTTTTCTTGAGCTTTGAGGTCGCTGTTCGTTGATGGGCATTTGCTTGCGATGCTATTCTTACCATGAAGTAGAAACAAATGGAGTAACCATATACACACAGTTAACAAAATAAATATAACCCTTAGGCCCGGGGAGGGGAGTACTTTAGGAATTTTTGGGTGGGGATGTGCCGCTGGGACCCTGGAACCCTTAGCCTACACCAGAGCTAGTTCAGCTGAATTTTGCTACCCTATACTGGACTAAACTCTTCAAATCCCCCGCCCTTTATCCTAGATATGATGCCGATTTGATTTTTTTTAAACATTTTTTTAGTGGCAATTCCCGGTTTCCTTAGTCTAGGCTAAAATCTTGAACCAATTGATCTGTTTCCTGGAAAA